CCTCTGTCTTCTGTCTTCTGTCTCTGCCAGTTGCCAGTTGCCAGTTTTGCCCCCTTGCTCTACCCGCGGGCTACCTTTTGCGCGGAAAACGGCAGAGGGGAAGGACAGCCTCTCATCGCACTGCCAACGCTTGGCCTGCCTTCGATATTCGTTTCGGGTTTGAGTGCAGGCCAAAGATGTGGCAGCGAACCCAAAAGCTGCTGGAGATGGAGACGTGGCACACATTGTGGGGCATACACATGCGATGCCGCAAAAGTTCCTTTTCGTTCGGTTGCGCTTCAACTTTTTGTCGCTGTGCTAAAAAAGTGGCACAAAAGTAATGTTGTAGAGCTGCCTCCAGGGAGATTGAGTGACAGATTCAGCGACGGCTGCAGCCGAGAGAGAGAGAGAGAGAGAGGGAGAGAGGGAGAGGGAGAGTGCAGCAGATATGGGAAAAAGTTTCGAACAAAAACGATTTAAAAAGCGATTCAAAGTCAGCTTCTCGAATCGAATCAGAATCGATTAAAGCAAAGTTGTTTATAGCACAAAGTTCAACAGATTTGGGGCACCCCACACCCCCCACACGCCCCACACAGCCCTCACAGGGTAGGGACGGGAAATGGATCATGGGAGGGGGGAATCTTCAACTGAACTTATTCGTGGTTAATTCTAGGCTGCAGGGACACCACACCACCGAATGGATTCAATTAACGGAAATGAGCTGCTCATCCTTGCCACAAAATGAGGCCACAGCCGTTCGGCACAATGCAAGCCCAGGAAGCGAGGGACCCTCCTCGGTCTCAATGCAATCTCAACCAGTTGCACATTCTTCCCCCACTCCCACCAACCACCACCCACCACCCACCTCCCACACTCCCACTTGCAGGCAACTCAATCACAATCTGGAGATGGGCAAACCAGGAATGGCAGCGGAGCGGTCCTGGCAAGGCACTCGCAACCTCAAAGCAATTGCCAAATGCCAGGACAAAATTTATGCACAAAACACAGGGGGAGGGAGGAGGAAGGGGTGGGGTGGTGGCCATATGCCGAGCACGTGGAGCCAAATCACATTTTGTTTGCGTACAATTTTTGAAAGATTATTACAGAATGCGGCAGGGGCCAGAGCCACAGCCAGAGCCAAGCAGGGGGTAGCAGAGTGTTTGCAAGGGGGGGGGGGGAGATCCAAGGGGGATCCAACCAACCTGACAGTATCTTGCAGTCACAGCCAGCGACTTCGCGCCAGCTTGACACTAACGGGAATGCGCCGGCCTGAAACACTGACACTGAGACTAGCACACACGAACCAGAACCCAGAACCCAGAACCCAAGCCAGTCGGGGCTGGCACACTGACAGAAAAGAGAGCAGCAAACTTGGTTACTTTTGGTACAATAATATGCAATGCAATAATAACATAACGGCAGTCAAATGCATAGAAAACAAACACGAAGTCAAAACCGTTTCTTGCTTCTCTGCCGCTGCGCGTGCTGATCTATTGTGAATGGGCAATAGGCCCTGCTCCTCTGCCGCTACGGGGATTCTCTGCGCACACGAAGCTTTTACAGCGCTGCACGAGATCTGCTGGTCTTTGCTCTTAATCGGCAACGCAGGTACTCAAATGCACAGACAACAAACACACGAAGTCAAAACCGTTGCTTGCTTCTCTGCCGCTGCGCGCAGCCGATCATACGAAGTTGCTTTGCTGTCGCTGAGTGCGCTGACAGCGCTGCCCGCAATCCCGTAATCGTTTTCCATGCACAGAGAGCATACGCTGCGCAGTCGGCCACTGGTTTAATAACTGCACATTAAACAGATCGCTTGCACCACCTGCACAGCACTCCCTATATTCAGTGCAATTTTTTGAAATTTCCAATGAATATTCTGTTAGCAATCAAATATATTACATTTTCTTGCCGTGCACTGAACGGGGGGAGGTAAATCAAGTCAGGGCAGTGATACATACTGTGTGGATGTGTAAGTATTGAGAGATGCTCAGCCGAAGATGCTCGGGCGACCCTCAGCGTACCACCTCCACGCCCCTGCATCTACTTGAAGGCGGCCCTGGGCTGGGCTGCCGCTTGTTTGCATGGCTGAAATGGCTGCCTCTGCTGGGCACACAGCGCTGGGATCAGCCACTGGATGTGGGATGCGGCCAAGGGGCTTGGACTTGGTCTCAAGATACACGGTTCCTGTCCCCGTCCCAACATCTTGTCGTATAATCACCCAGCATCATGTGTGTGTGTGTGTGTGTGTGTGTCTATAGGACATAAGATAGCGATACCCTTGACAGTACTTAAAAAATACGAACGAAAAAGCTGCAAAAAAGAACGGAGGAAACCCAAAAGCAGAAGCGAAAAGTTTACTTTTGTTTGCCTTTCCTTGCGCTGCTGCTGCTGCTGCTGCTGCTGCTGCTGCGTCGCAGCACGCGTCACCTACCCACCACTATTGCCAGACCCACCCCCCCCCCCCCCCCCCCCCCCCCCCCCCCCCCCCCCCCCTGGAACCCTCACGCCATCGCTTGTTTGCTTTGCTGCGTTTCAAATGTTTCGTGCGGTCTCTTTTGGAGCTTTTGGATGCGCTTCCAAGAAGCTCGCTTCCAGGGATAGCGTTGGGGCCGCCGTTACGGATACCCCTGTGGACTTACCTTAAGCTAAACATGCACACAGATGGCCAGGATGGAAGGATTCACTAGAACTAATGATCTGGTTAAAGTCCAGAGGGACTTTCATGCATACAAATCGACAGAAATTGTCTTCCAGGGCACAACACGGAAAACATTTCGAAAAGAAATTTCCATTTTTTGTCTGGTTTTGGTTGCGCTTGTGCCAAATTGTCTTAATAGATTTATGGGCGTACGCAAAGCGGCTGCACTTTGCCGAGGCCCGGAAGTGGCTGAAGCCAGAGCCAGGACTTGCAAGGACTTTTAATTTTGTTGCGCAACACTTGGCAGCCAATGCCCCATGCCTGCCACTGCCCCCCTCCCTGTGCTCAGGCCCGGAGCGACATTGGCAGCTCTGCGGGTTAATAGCATTCCAATTGGGCCTCCCTTGGGAGCTCTAATCATTTTAGCAGTCGGACATCCGCGCTCCCTCTCCCTCTCCCGCTCCCTCGTACATTTTACATACATATTTACATAGTTATGTACATTTGATGCACGCGCTCTCCTGCTGCATCCTGGCAGGGGGACAACTTCACTTTTGGGCAACTTTAATCGCCACAATCCGAGATGCGAGACCAAGTTTTGCTTAGACAACGCCAAAATGTTCCATGGATATTTCTGGGTTCTCGTTCTCTCAGCCCCTCCCCTCAGCTCTGGCACAGTAGCCAACCCTAGCCCAACCGCAGAAGTTCCAAAGGCAAAACCCCAAAAAGCCGACCCTGTGCCCGCCCCTGCCATACGCCGTGTGTTGTCTGACGTTTTGCTAACGACTTTTCAATGGCTGCCTGCGCCAAGGCATAAGTTTTGCGGTTGCCTCCCGTCTCCTGCCTGTCCTTTCAGGCTATGTGTGCAAACAGTTCGCTTTTGCCGCTTGCTGGACCCCATCCCACGCCGCACGGCATTGGGTTATTGGCCTTGCCGCAGCTGTACGTATCTGGAGCTAGAGAACTGCCACAGTTGCAAAAAGAAATTAGTTGCTGTTGGCGAATCTGCTGGCAACTCTGGCTGAAGGCTGCTGTAATTGACTCAGACAATATGTTGCACGAGGCAGGAGAGAGCCGCAGAGCAGGCAGGGCAGGAGAGCGTCGCATGCGAGTACATCACATGGCCATCATCCGCAGTGTGGCGGCCTCGTTATGCTGAAAATGAGTTCATAAAATGCGTATGCGTAATCAAATGATGTGTCAAGTGTGTTGACAGCGCACTGACTGCTCAGCGTTAATGGCAGGCGACATGAAAATGGAGACCATCATCATGGTGCCGAGCACACATCTTCCGCACAAGTCATTGGATCGGGTTTGAGTTTGTGTCCTTCCACAAATGCGATTTTAATGACTCGCACAAAGAGAGTAAGAGTATTTATTGCCTCGATGTGTCCTGCGTGTCCTCCTTGGTCGCTTGGGGCATCCCTCGGCTGCTGATCCCTGGCACACCCATCAACACCTAACGGCAAGTGGTGGCATAAGTCCTTTATTCTGCTCCAGCAGTGCTCGGAGCACTCCAAAATGAATCGAGGTAATTCTGTGGAGTTGCACATGAACAAATACACAAATGGCTTACATTTTGTGCACTGTGCAGTGCGTATCGAGACACTCACACATCATTTGATGGGCTAATGCTCTTCCACTTGACATTCCATCTGTGGACTCGACAAACACTAGAAGCCCGAGCTGGATGGCCGGATATGAGGCAGGACATTTGTCAGAAGTAAATTAAATTGCTGTGGCAAAAAGAGCTGGAGGCACGCACTGATGCAAACACAGCACAGGACACAGGAGCAGAGCAAGAGCAAGAGCGGCATCAGCTCTCCCTCGCCCTCTCCCTCTTTCGATTAAGTGAGATTCCATTTCAGAGTTGTCATAAAATGCAAACAGATAAGAGATAAAAGAGCTGCCACGCCCATTAAAAGGCTTATTGATTGCGAAGCGGCTTGTTGTAAATTATTAACACTAATTAAATGATTAAATAACTCACAGAAAAGCCACACAGCAGCAGCAGGGAAGAGTGCAAAAGGTTTCGGTTGCTCCTTTTTTTTTATTGGAGGGATTCCCATTCCCATTCCCATTCCCATTCCCGTTCGATTCGTTTTTATCTGCATCAATTAATGCGCAAATTGATTTTGCGCAAATTCCATTTGAATTTAAGTTCTTTTTTGCCCATCATCCTTTATTGCCACTTCATGGCTGATGTCGCCCCACTTGCTGCCCCTGGGCAGCACTGCTTTGCACTGCTTGTCGGCCCATGCAGCCGCAAGCAAGACGACAGAGAAAGAGAAACACACGCAACAAAAATGTTTACTGACATTTGACTAAATTGTTCATGATTTATTTATTCGCTTATTTTATTTATATTTTTATTTTTGGTTTTCGGTTTTGCATTGTGTGTATATTGTATATGTATATGTAGATGTATATGTAGATGTAGATGTATATGTCGCAAACTGCGGTATGTATTTACTTAATTGCTAGTTGCCTCGCCTCAATGCTAAGTTAGTTTCGTTTTGTGTACGGCTACATGTGCATACGTATGGGAATGCTCCCTGCCCGGGTGGTCGCGCATCCGCAGCTGTACCCATGTAGAGAGCTCAACACTGGAAGTGTGATTACATGAACTAGCTGCAATCTCAATACACTCAATTGTGTGTGTTCGTTAGCCTAAGAGTTCAACTTACCGTGCTAGGAATTTGACAAAAAAAAAAAACAACCTACACTCACGTGTATTTACTTTACTTTACTCTAGCTTTTCCATATCTATCAGATAGTTATTAATTATATTGTGGCTTGAGTGTGTCTGTGTCTGTTGCTGTTGCTGTGTGCGAGTGTTGAAGTGGACTAAATGTAATTACATTGGACTTAAATTCAATATTTGCGTTGGCTCTTATGCCAGCTTTATGCTTAATGGCTGCTGCTCTTCGTTAGTTGGTTAGTTGGTTATTAACTACATAGACATAGATGTATATGTATATGTATATGTATATGTAAATGTATTTATGTATGAATAAATTGATTCTGGAATTAGTTTCTGCCCTTTGATGCTCAGCCCTTCGCTGGCAATCCATTAATCCATTAATTGAAAGGCAACCCCTGCCCTTCCGCCTCTAAATTGTATTTTGATTTCATTTTTTCTACGAGTATGCCTCTGCCTAGCCTATGTGACTTTGATCTGGTTGCTGGTTGCTGGTTGCTGGTTGCTGGTTTCTATTTTCAATTGAATGCCACAAATGCAGCGCCCTGCGACCACACTAAGGGGCGTACACTCAAGTTTCATTTATTTATTTTAATGAAGGGCTACAACAAAAAAGTGCCTGATGGCTGACAGCCACAGCCACAGCCACAGCCACAAACAAATAACAAGCAACAAATGCCAATTCTCGCGCTCAATTACCTACAATCAAAATGTGTTTAAAGAGTATTTAAACCTAATTGGCTCTGTGCGAGGCAGAAAATGAAACAAAAAGCGACAAAAAAAAGCACGCAGGGGATTCGGGGACGAATCGAAGCTAAAATTGTGTGGGACATCTACGAATGATGTATAACAGTTTGTATAACAGGACTCCAGCTGCAGCTGTATAACAGTATAACAGTTCGTTGCGTTAGGTCCTGCAGCGTTTCCAATGGAACTGTTACACAGCGCTCGCTGAGCGGAAAACTAATTTAAATTTCCACTAAACCCAACCCCAACCCCTGATGAAACTAAACACGGAGCGTCGAGTACTGGAGAACGAGCCAACAAATCGCTTAAATAAACTTTGTCCTCTGCTATTTATACAATTTGTCATTTTGCATTTTGCATTCTGCATTTTGTTTGCTTTCCCCCCCCCCCCCCTCTATGAATGCTTATTATTCATGGTATTCGCGATGTATTTTACTTTTATTAATTTCGGTTTTGGCATGCCTTCGGCATTAACGTTAAACACTCTCTCTCATGCAGCATTTAAATGTTTATTTATATGCATTTATCATGTGGAATTTTCATTTTCATTTTCATTTTCATTTTAATTTAGTCGCTGCTGCCACACCACACCACATCGCTCCTCCTCCTCCTCCTCATCTGCTGCTAAAAACTTTGCCTATTCTGCCCGCCCCGTGTGTGGATGCTTTTCGCTTTTGTTTTTCCTCCTATATTTACACAGATAATAATAAATATTTGCTCAATGTTTATGGATTCAAAAAACACGACGAAGAACTTTCAGATGCAGCAAATTGTTATCTCTTCTCGCTCCTCCGCACTTTCGTTTGCTGCCCCCAAATGTAGGCAACACTTTCGCACTTGGCTTTCGCACCTATGCTTCGTGTCTGTGTGTGCTTGTGTGTGTGTGCAATTACTTACAGTGTGAGCCTTTGGCCTAATTCACTTAGACACGTATCACCTCACCTGGTGCCGGGCCCGACTTGGGGCACAGCGCCTCATCAATGCTGTCCCGCAGGCGCATCGCCGCATTCAGCTCCGAGGCGGACACGGACACGGACACGCATGCAGCACTCACTGGTGAGCAGTCACTGGACGCTGCCGCTAGTCAGCTGGCTGGTCACATGAAAATGTCACCGCCACCCAGGCCGCCGACAGCGGAGGACTTTCGCGGCGTTGTCGGCACCCCGTGGGGACAATGTGTGCTCGACGCTGCCGACACCGAGTTCACGCCGGAGGAGACAATGGATGGCGGCGGTGGCGGTTGCTGCTGCTTGGACTCATCCTCAAAGGTGACCATCTTCTCGCTGCGCGGCTTCAACGTGACTATCTGCAGCTGGGCCGGCGGTGGCGGTGGTTGCTGCTGCTGCTGCTGCTGCTGCTGTGGGCCACCGCCACAGAGGAGTGTCTGCGGTGGTCCCAGTTGCAGGCCGTGCGGCAGTCCCATGCCCATGCCCATGCCCATGCCCATGCCCATGCCCATGTTGGGGGAGTAGCGCCGCGGCGGGGGCAGGGCCAGATCGCCGACGCCCGACAGATTGAACTCGCTGATGCTGCGCGGCACAAAGTACTCCATGTGGTGCTCCGGGATGCCGGTGGAGCGGCGGATGGGCGTGTTGCGCTGGAAGGCAGCGCCCGAGGACGAGGCTCCCGCGCCGTGCATGTGGCTGCGGCGGGGCAGCGAGCTGTACTGGGTGAGGGTGTGGGCCGGGCCGAAGAACATGGTCTGGTGCTGGGCCAGGCTGTTGGGTGGCTGGTGGCCTACCACGCCCAGGCCGGAGGAGGTGCTGGGACCGCCGGCGACGCCGCCCAGCAGGTCCGCGCTGGGTCGTTGTCAGGAGGGCTTCGGGGTGACGGACACCGACACGAGGGTCACCTCCTCGGGCTTGGGCGTCACGTGGTCCTGCACGCTGAACTTGCGCAGCCAGTGGACAATCTCGGCCTGGATCAGGTTGAAGCACATGGCCACCACGGCCATGCCCACCAGTATGTAGGCGGAGGCCATGTACAGGGCCAGCGTGCCCCGGGGTGCCAGCTCCCCGAACCCGATGGTGCCCAGCGACGTGAAGCAGAAGTACAGCGACTCCAGCACGCTCCAGTTCTGCAGCCGGTGGAAGAGTATGGCCCCGCTGGTCACATAGCACACCATCACGCACACGCAAATCGATATGGGCACACTGGCAGAGCCCCGAGCCCCGTTTCCATGTTCATTTTCCGACTCAGAGCTCTTCTTTTCCTGCTGCTGCTGCTGCTGCTGTTGCTGTTGCTGGTAGACGGTTTGCGGCATGCCGTAGTGCATGTTGCTGGCACCACCGCCAGCACCAACTCCTCCATGGTAGTGGCCCTTCTGGCCCTTCTTCTTGTCCGATTTGCGTCCATTTCCACTGGTGCCGCTGCCATCCCTGTCGCCGCCATCGCCCTCGCCGGCAGCGCCCTTCTCGGCACCCTGGCGGCGGAACAGGCAGCGCATGCCGGTGGACAGGGCATCGCCCATGGCCGACAAGTAGAGCAGGATTATGGGTATGCCGAGGAGCGCGTAAATCAAAGCAGCAATGCGGCCCCACTGGGTGCGAGGCGAGACGCCGCCATAGCCTGCAACGAGGAGGAGGGAAAACAATGAATGCAAGCAGAAATAAATGCAGAAAGCCTCAGGCTCAAGCAGAGACAAACAAAAACATCGAAAATGATCCGCCAAACTGACTGATCCTTGATCCAATTAGCTGGCCACACTGCACAGATGCCCTGCCCTACCGCAAGAGAAAAAAATGGAGCAAAAAAAGAGAAGGAAAAGAGGAATAGAAATGGAAACTTTTCTGTCGGAGACACTTTGGCTTTGATGTTTGTTTGCCAGAATCGAGCCAGAGCCAGAGCCAGAGCCAGAGCCAGAACCGAAACCAGGAACAGGTCTTGGAGCAGGATTAGGAGCAGCAGCAGGCCTAGACCTGCCGCTGGGCACGACCTAACCCAATAATGGCTAGAGCCTCGGCTTCGGCTGCGGCCTCTCCTCTCGCTCAATGAACTTTTAATGTGGAAACTTTTATAATTGAGTAAAATGCTGCGTATGTGTGTGTGGTGTGTGTGGTGTGTACATGTATTACATTTTATTACTGACAAAAATGAAAGCAAAGAGCAAACGACAATGGCAAAAAAGAAATGCCAGACGACACCACCAGACCAGACCAGACCAGACCAAACCAGACAAAAAATGTATGAAAAATCGGTATGGAAAACACACAGAAAATGCTTTCCCCCCCCCCCCCCCCCCCCCCCCCCCCCCCCCCC